GTCAACTGGAAGCAATAGGGCAAATATGGAGATATGTCAATTTTAATTCATATGATTGAGGAATCATGGAAAGTGTAAGTTTTTTAAAATTGAATTGTACACTGTAAAAAGGAAACATGTACAGTATTTTAGAAATCAGCCTATTTGCTGATCTTGAACAATAGATTATTTAATATTGGGACATTCAGGTTACATGGCAATCCTTCCTCATAATCTATAACTTGTGTTTTTAAAGCACCTTACATTTAAACTTTATGGGTTTATACCACAGGACTCTATAAATAGTTTTGCCCGCATCACATAATATGAGAATACTTACTGCCATATGTGGTTATCTAAGCATGACTTGTAAACAGATTTGTTGAAAGTATAGCAGATTTTATTAGAATCATTATATTACAGTTCTCCTGTAGTCCAAACTTTTTCAGTTTCAGCAGCAATTCTAGCTATAATTAATGGAGAACATAAGAAGGCACTCATTTTGTTTCTCACTTTGGATGAGTGCTAGATGGGTTGTAAGCAGATTATAAAGTAGAAATTGAGACTTTTGATGCTTCCAAGGATCAATATACTCCTAAGGTACTTCTCCATTATATCTGTACGTTGTAACTCTGATTTCCCATACTTGATTTGTCCTGGAGAGCAGAACAAGCAATATTTTTAGCTCACATTTAAGATGGTGGCTGAAGAGTAGAAGTTCCCAGGAGAAGCATACTGAGAATGTTTTCAGCAGGGTAAATACGTTATATGGTTGCAGCAGAACCAACGGAATATTGTGTTAGTTAAGCTCTAAACCATGAGAAAAGCTAAAAAGAAAAAAGAAAATTTAAATCCGTATGATAGGCCCAGTGAAGAGTTATACAAACTGCTTGTGATCAATTATTTGTTCAGCTTTGGATTGATTAAAGGTTGCGTTTTCATACCATTCCCATATCAGATAATCATGACAGTGGTCTAGTCAATAGATATTGAGAGGATGAAAAAGATTAAGTTTGTACAGGTAGTCCTCAATTTAGGACCACAATTGGGACTGGAACTTCCATTGCCAAGCGATGCAGTCATTAAGTGAGTCATGCCCGATTTTACAACCTTTTTTGCTGTAGTCGTTAAGCGAATTGCCATGGCTGTTAAGTGAATCACACAGTTGTTAAGTGAATCCAGGTTCCCCATTGACTTTGCTTGTTGGAAGCTTCCTGGGAAGGTCACAAATGATGATCACGTGACCCTGGGACATTGCAACTGTCATAAATGCATGCCAGTTGCCAAGCACCTGAATTTTGACCATGTGACCTTGGGGACGCTGCAACAGTTGTGTGAGGACCGGTCATAAGTCATTTTTTTCAGTGCCATCATAACTTTGAACGGTCATTAAATGAATGATCAAAAGTCGAGGACTACCTATATAATCATTCCTCCTCCAGCTGCTGCTACTACTACTGATATTGCAGTAAGAACAGTTACTGATATTTCTTTTCAATGTGGGATTCCACACAATGTGTGTCCTTCCCACTGTCACTCTACAAATGCTAGAACTTTTCTATTATATGGGACAATGGGCAATGTGGGGCTCTTTCCCTTGGTAGCACCAACTTTTTCAGAATGTTAAGAACTGGATGAATATTGGGAAGAAAAAGAATATTTCATAGATTAATTGTATATGATCCACAGCTTTTGATATAGAGTAAGACCTACAAAACTCTTTTCAAAATGTATATTCAGTTCAGCAGCAATAAGGGCAGGTGTTGTTTTGTTACTGTTGCTTACATTTATTAGTTAGTATGGCTTTATGAATGCATGAAACCTTTCCATTCAAGTGATGCATTCTAGCTAATAACACCTATTAAGAAAACTAACCTGGTGAGAAAACCAGTTGAGACAAGAGCAGTAATATAACCAATATTTCTCTTTATGTACTGAAAACTATTCTTCTAGTTTAGCCATTTTGTGGGCCTTGGAAGGACAAAAATTAGGGAAATAATTTGCATTCTGTTTGGCTGGTTACCAAAATATATATATCAGCTTTGTGGCTTGTTCTGTTCAGCCAGTGATATGCACATGTGGCATATGTATGAATATGTATATATTTGCACATGGTGTTTGTGCATTAAAAGAGCTCCCAGTTAATACTTTTAGCAAAGCATTATTATGATTTGTATTTCTTTCCTTTTTTAAAAAAAACTAGAATTAAGCTTATGAGTGCTATTTTAATAATGGAATTAGCTTTTTTCCAAAGTTGCTCCATTAGTCTGCTCTTGATATAATGGTGCCTCCAGATGTGTTGGACTACAGATCCCCAGTGTTCCAGCCATGTTGCCTGGATGTTGTATCCCAACACACTGGGGACACAGGGCTGGGCCCATTTGGCTCATTTAAATGTTTCTATGCCCACCCTGACAAATCCCTTTTTTTCCTCTTTCTTACATTTCATTAGTGCTCTAAAGAATGCCCCAGTTTTGGAAACTGTTGTTGGTACAGTGGATTGCTTTTTCAAGAAAAGAAAGATGCAGACTTCTATGGAGTTGATTCCTTTGGATCAGAGCCATGGCAGCATGGAGCTAAAAATGGTTATCTATTGCCTTTGGTTATTCAAATCTTTCCCACCTCTGCTTCTCTTACCCCATACAAGTCCTTGAACACTGACAGCAGGGCTCTAATTTGAAGTTCCCTGCTGAGACACATCTTTGCTCTTACATTCAAGAGCTCTTTCTGATTCAAAGCAGCGTAAGGGGAGAATAGTCACAGAGCAAGCTTCAGCTTCACATATTCATGAAATTCAGAGTTCAGGTTTGATTTGTGGATTCAAAATAACCTTTATTTAAGCTGAAACTATTTCAGTGGTCAAAAGAATGTTCTTTTCACTTAGTGAGTTTATTATTTCAGATGGCCCCAATATCAGTGGGGTACCCAAAAGAATATTTGCCCACCAGTCCTTGGATGTGAAAAGCTTTCTTGAGCGTGGGGAGGGCTATATTTCCTGGCTGTGAAATGATCAAGCATTATATGAAATAATACCTTCTTGCTTTGATCGTCCCCTAGGGCTAGGCTACCATGTCCAGGGCTGCAGAAATCCAGACAAGAACAAGATGGCAGCAGCTAGAAGGTTCTGTAGCTGTTGCCATCTGGTGGTCATCTGGATTTCTGCAGTCCATATATGGTAGCTCTATTATTCTCTCTCTGATCCTTTGTGGCCTCCATCAGAATGCCATACATTTGTAGAACTTAGGTTTTCTCTGCATCTGATAATCTCCTGACTGCGGCTGCTTTTTTCCACAGCTGAGGGGCAGTAATCCACACTTGCTTACCTCCCTTAATCACAGCCTCACTGCACTGGGCCATCCTGAGCCTTTAATTCCCTCTTAGAGGCAGAACAGAGTAGAAAGTAAACAAAGACAAATTTGCAGCCTTCAACATTGCTAATTTGCTCTGATGTCAGAATATTTAAACAGATGAGGACCTGGGAATTATTTGATCAGGACTGTTTTTAAGTCCAGCGCTTGGGAAAATGGGTGAGGCTAGGAAGCTTCTGAAAAATGACAGCTTTCCCAAGAGATACTTGCTGAAGGTTTTCTTTTTCAACAATTGCTTCCTCATTTTTTAAAACCTCTTTGGCTGCTCTGCTACTAGAATGGGTCCTTTTCCATTGGATTTTTTTTTTAAGTCTTACAATAGCTTTCCTCAGAGCACTTCTGTGCCTTTTCATTTCTGGTTCTATAGGAACACCGGGCAGCACTGCCTTTTGTTCCAGTTCATTGGGGTGAATTTAAAATAATGCCTTCTGCTTAACATAAAGTCTAACCGTTGCTGTCTTTTTGCCCCATCCTGCATTCTTTGTCAGCCCAGTATTCTCTACTGAGATCAGGAACATCTTCAGTGCCCCTTAATTTTATGCTTTGCAAACACCCTTTCCGTGGGGATTGCACCTCAAAATCAGTGTGACTTGACTAGCGGTTTATATTTTGTGAACAAATAAATTATTCAGGCTGGCAGGAGAGATGAGAATTCAACATGCGCTCACACACATTGTCAGGAAAGCACTTTTGACAAGTGATAATGTTAGATCTGCTGCCTGTCAAAGATACATACTTACAAGATGACTTAAAATGCCTGTAATTC